CTTCACTTCAAAAATAGGAATGTTAATGCTTGCTCCACAGGGCTGCAGAAAACACAGCTAGAAGATAAACATGTACCAGTGCAGTGCTTTAAGATTTAACATCTCATATTTAGTGTGCTTTCACACTGTAAGCTGCCTGTGGGGAGAAGAGTGGTCTTTCCAAGCCCAAGATTTGTGACTTAGCTGGATCACAGTCATTTATTCTACCTCCAAACTAAGTGTATCAATCAGAAATTCCTCTTGTGTGATATCATTACAGACTTTTGAAGATCAAGACCTGTCTGAAATGATGGAGGCAGATGAATGCCCTCTCCTCTTGATCCAACTGGCAGCTCAAAGCTGCGTGTGTAACAAAAACTAAATTCTCTGTGTCTCTGCCAAAGAAATTCTAAAATAACATTTCCTTATTCCTGACCTCCTGCAGCTGCCATTTTCTGTAATACTCAATTCGTTAACAGTGGGTAATATTGTTGTCATGGAAAACAGTTTTAGCCACCAGTGACTAACTTGTGCACATAGCATTTCAGAGAAAGTACAAGTGAGGCTGTGGGGTCTTTTTTACTGTGTTTAGGAGAAGAAATGCTGTAAGATTCACCCTTCCACAAACTTGCTATGGGTGGCAAGAAAACCCTTTTTTCTTCCTGTGTTTCTTGGTCAGTAGTAACAGCAAGGAGCCCTGAAACAAAGATCACCACTAATGTCATTAGTGTCCACTTGTTGAACAGAGCTGATTTCAGTTCAGCTCTGCCAGTTGTTGCTCTTTCTGGAAAGCGGGTGAAAAGCTGGGAATCCAGCTATGAACATGAAGATGTCCCTCTACTGCTCCCCAGTACAAGAGGAAGAGACCATTCTTTTTGCACAGGCTTCTGTGGCAGTAAGTCATCACTGCCAAAGCCTGTGCAGCAAAGCTGGAATCTGCTTTCTTGTTTTATCAGGGATGCCGCACATGTGGTTGGAGCTTGGACTTTTCTCTGTGGGTTTTTTGTTGTTGGTTTTGTTGTTGCTGTTCTTTTTCCTGTGGGTGGGGGGGTTCAATGGCTTTTACACAGTTGGCCTTACAGGCTAGAGTGGAGATCACCAGTGTGAAACATTGGCAGGAAATTTTGGGCTGCATGAAGCACTTTGAGACCCATTACAGTCTCTGCACTCTGATAATACTTATACATGCATATACCATTTTAAGTTTCTCTGTGCAGTCCTTCAAATTTCAAACTCTGTAGGGGGTACCAGGACTGGCAGATTGAGATTTGCTTCTGGATTTCAGGGAGACTCAAGGAGCAATTAGACTAAACCAAAGGTCTGGATTTGATGACTCAGTTCCTCTCCAGCTTTTGATAAATTCCATTCTGACACAGTTTACATTTGACTCCCGTGTGCCAAGTGAATGAACTGAATCCAATTATCTTGAATTGGAGGAATCTTCATTTTTTTTTTTTCCTACAGCCTTTCTCCAAATCACAGGAAAATGTAGGTGGAGAAAAATATGAATATGCTCAAACTGGCCCTATAAAGACAGCTGCAAACCTGTAATGTTTGAACAGAGTAGCACGAGAAAGGATTAGGACTACTTTAGTTGAAGTGAATTACAAATTACTTGGTCCAGCTCCCTACTGGAAGTAACAGTAAAAATAATCAGTGTATACATATGCTTAATGTGTAGTGTGTGTGTATAGACATAAAAGGAAAGCAGGCACTCTGAATTAGCAAGCTTTGATTTTCACAAATGTCGTGGTTCACAGAGATGCCATCCCCAGTATTACATCGGCTTGGTCCTCCCAGACATGTTTAAATGTATACCTCCTATGAAACACATCAGTCTAGACCAAAAGACACATGGGCTCGCACTGAATAGCATCCTAGTCTAACACGTAACTATTCACAGAAGGCTGTAAAAGCAGCACAGTGCTACTTAAATCACCAGACTGCAACATTTCTGAATGTTGCAAATTACTTTCGTCATCCACTTTCCACTCACTACAACAGAAACAAGTTGGTTTATTTCCCAGAGCCAAGCTTAAAGAGACAATTCAGTTCTAAAAACCTTGGTGAGCTGACTGCAGATCACTTTGGCTGAAGATTTTTAAACAGTTTTAGATTCTTCCTGGCCCTTTGGACATCTAGTTCAGCTTTTGGCTAACTTCCGATAGAGAATGAGGAATTATTCATTTTCTGTCCAAACTGCTGTGAAATTTTGCCACAAAATGAATTAAAATTGCATAAACCCATCCAGAAGGTTTTTGTGGGAGAGACAGACTCCTGCATAGAACAGGCAAAAGCTTTCTCCACACTATAATAGTGAAAAACTCCTGTAAAGCTATTCAGCCCCAAACTGGCTGCTTTAGCGCTTGTTGCAGAAAGACTGCAAAACACACCTTTCCCTGACTTCTCAGAGCTGGTCTATGGAAATGTCATGTCTTGTGCAGGTCTGGAGGCCCGCAGAAATGAAGCTGCAAAGTGAAGAAAAGCTTCCAGGCAGCTATTTTTACCAGGCCTATTTCTTTTCTTCTTGGGTGGTTGACTCTTAACTTCCCGATGGGAGAGGAAATGAAGGAGTACAGAGAGAAGAAATGGAAAGTCAGCTTTTTCTGCAGGGACAATACTGTTTAATCTTAAGCTGTCAAAGTCTCATACCCATGTACAGGGAAACCAGTACCAGTCATTTTGCAGTGCAAACTAGAGGATTTTTCTGACCTTTTTATTTTGACTTTCTTTTCTTTCTTTTTTTTTTTTTTTTTCCCCTGCAGTGCAAGAAGCAAAATCAGGTTTGAAGCCACGAGGCAGGCTAACCATATTTGGAAGGAAGAGGTGACATGCATAAGCACTTTTTTTTTTTTTTCTTATAAGATTTGTTTGCATTTATTTGTATGACAATGGGCTTTCAGAAACTGATGGATCTCATTAACTCACATGTTGTTTTTAACGTAAAGCACTGCAGTACTGTTCTTCGGGAGCAGTCTGCTTACATACAATAGTGGACGTGATTTTTCTCTATGTGTTTTGTATCTGACTGTGGTGCTCATATGCACACCAAATGGTGTCTTACAGGAAAAACAGCTGCAATGGACACTGTGGGACTTCCTAAAGGAAAAGTTCCTATGATATGTGTATATACACACATGCAGAGGGGAGATGTCACAATGTACGAGCCAGTCTGTGAACATCTTACCTCCTTTGGTTGTAAGCTACTTTTCCAAGTAGATGGTTTGGTTTCAGAAGAACTCCCTGTGCAACTTCTTACCAGCAGCGGCTTGGGTAGCCCAACTGCCTTCAGGTGAATTTGGAAAAAAACCCAAAAATCCCAAACTCCCAAAACAATCAGAATATCTCTGTGGAAAATAGCAAGATTCTGCAAAGAAACAAGCAGACCATATATACACACTTCCATCAATAATATCTTAAGCGGTTCTACATCATATCTGGTACAAGAATAGCTGACCTGCTGCAGGTATCTCATAAAGTAGAAGTAAATCTCGGTATGATTTTCTGTGCTGCCATGCCATCTGGCAGTGTTATATTTGCAGAGTTCACATATGGGTGTAATTTTGTTTAATGAAAGTCCTGTTCTGATGTGAACATGGTTCAGAAATTCTTATAGCCACACTTCAAGAAAATTTGAGGGGCACTGGCAAAAGACTATGCAGGGACATCTGCCCCCAGCTGTCACATACCTCCAGTTGGAAGGGCAATCAAACCCAGACTCCTTAACATTAAGAACCCTGTGACATGTAAACAAGTTAGTAGAAGTCTATGAATTAACTGAGATCAAATATTAAAGAACATCTGGCTTTAAAAGGGGTGACAAGTCAGGGGATATTAGCTCACGCATTAATATTGCTTACTCCTATTACATGCCTTAGATATACCTGTGCAGTGCCTATTCTCTTCCCCCCATTCATATTGGGATCACGTCTACTCCATAGTAAAGGGAAACATTCTCTCATGCAATAAAGCAGTATATTTGGGACTCACATATTAGATAATATTATTTATAAGTGTAAGACGTACGGACCCTCCCATACTGTGTCATTTTTCAGCGAATCTTGGCCATACACAGGTAAATGTGCATCACTAGGAGGAATCAAACTCTAGACCCTGAAATAGAAATGTTGTAGACTGCAGTTACTAGAGAAAAGGCATAAACAAGCAGCTCCTGGATAGGTACCAGGAAAACTGCAAAAATAAATGATAATTGATATATTGCACTTTCCCCCCCTCTTTTTTCTTTTCTTGATTTTCCTTTTGCCTCAAAAGTGGCAAGGGATTAACGCAGCATGAAATTGATCTTATCCAAATTCAGGAGATGCCTCATCCTAGGACAGCTTCTATTTCTCCTTTGCTCCCCAGTTGTCTCTAGAATAGGGCATCCCTCTACAAAAGAGCGTAAGACTGTAATTTTTTCACACTGTGGTGAAAACCATCCATCCCTCCAGAAAAGCGCATAAGATTGTACTTTTTGTCCCAGTGTGGTAAAAAACATCCTGCAGTGAGGTCAGATGCTGTCTGGCATGATCAGAGTATCTGTATCTGAAGTATCTGTACTCTTGCTGTACTCAAGCACAAGGTTGGTTCACATTTATCTTCCAGGAATCTCCCTATTTCAGCACCATGACAGAGTGTGCCCTTGTGAAGTGCTGGAAATCCATTGTGGGTGGAAGACACAATATGTTGTGCATTCCATGTTCATGCTGTGAGCACCGTCATGCATCTCCTTGTAAAGCTGTCTGCTGCAACGGAAATGATTAAAAACTGAATCTTAAGCATTCTTCAATAACCACCATGCCATCAGATGTGGGAAGAGGCAGGACTGGTGTTAATCTGACATTACTAACATCAGGCTTTCAGTACCACTTGCTACTATGGGCTCACAGAGTAGGAAAAGCTTATACAAATATGCTGATTGAAAAAATATAGTACATTATTGGTGGTTTCAGGTGGTATGAAGTAGGCAGCACAGAGGAGCTTCCATCAGAAGAAAAGAACTAGCCATAGCATTTACTACAAGTGTTGCATCCTCCTCTGATTCTTCTTTTCTTTCTGATTTTTATTCGCACACTTTCACTTTGATCATATTGCAGGTTTGATTTCTCTTATTCCATGGAAATTCTGATACAATTCTTTTTAGAGCAAGGCACCCTGAGGTATGAGATCCCATAGCCACACAGGAATGGATTAATCATATGCATCAGAAACACATTTCTGCTGATGCAAGTACTTTGCAAAACAGAAAAGGTGTGAGGGAGAGGGGTATAAGCAAACCTCTAATGCAGATTAATCTTCATTTCAAAAAATGAGCACATTTTGTATAATCTATGCCACTAACAGCTAATGAAGAAAGCACACTTTCAGTGATGCAAAACAATAGATCAAGATCTAATATATTTATGAACGGTAACAGTAATATCAGCTTTTTTTTAGAATAGGCTATCCAAAAAGTATTTTGACTGTGGTATGGGTAGAAAGTCCTATGAGATGGCATGTCATAGGTCACAGACACCAATGGCCATAAACCATATAAAAATATACACCCATTGGGAACTGAGGAAGGGTGGAAAGGCCAGAGGCAACAAGGGACTTTGATTTAGTGCATTTAGAACAAATGCACTTTGCCTTACAGTTTAAAGGGATGTACACAACCAAAGACACCATTACGGATTAGTCCAATAGGGAATATCAGCAGTATAATGGCTAGAGTTGTACATTACAGATTTCAAAGCCAGAGAAATTCTTTTCATGGCAGCACTGTGAGAACTGTGTAGGTTCTTGCCTGCTAGAAAATTTAGACTTGGTCCAAATATAACAAAACTCTAAGGGAAAAGGCCTGCCTGTTGTGTTGCTGTAGTTCTCTGCTAAAATGCTGTTGAAGCCATCTGGATGAAAACATCCCTATTTACAGAAATAATTTTTTTTATAGAGAACAGGAGAAATAAATTGATGCTTTGGGAAATTATGTTATATTGGTTGCCAGTTCTTGGCTACATATAACAGCTAGCTCCCTTACAGTACATATAATAGTGAAAGATAATTGTTGTTGCTGGAAAACAATCAAAGTTCATCCCTTCAGCAACACTTTAATGATACATAAGGAGTCTATTACTTACACTGGAAAGCGGAAAGTGTATTTATTGGAAATCTACTCTGAGTTTGAGGAATGATATCCAGAGGGTTTAAAGGAAATTTTTTTCTTCTACTCCCTCTGTCTTTAGAGAGAATCAGAGTCAGGCCAGCTTTCTAGCCTTCACGTGGCCTATGCTGCATATGTAGATAAGGTCTAACTGACTCCTCTCTGTGTGTTTCTACCGTGCCACAATCCCCCCTAGAAGTGTTTCAGCAAAAGATTATGGCTCCGTTTCCCAGCATGAGGGAGAATGATGCTTCCTTTCAACTAAATACCAGGCAGCTGATTCCTACTGACATCCCCATTTCAATGGGCAGCTGGCTGTGTGCAGGGATTTCTGCATTTATTTCAGTACTAAAGCTCATAAACATGCAAAAAAGAGAACAAGTCTAAACCTTAGACTTGTTCAGAGCAGAGGGAAGAAGAACCTATAACTGCATTAAAACTTTAGACAGCATATGAAGGAATAATATTAAAAACCTGTTTAAAAAAACAGGCTTACAAAACTCACTGCTTCTGTAGGTGACACTAGGATTGGTAGAAAGGTCAAGTTATACTTAGGTCATTTGTGGTTCTTGCATGAGAGTGTGTATGCCTCTTGCTTCAGAGCTTCTAAGGTAACTACATTCCCTTGTCAGATATAACATGGGGGAACCTGAAAGTCCAAAGGAGCTCTTCCCCCTGTAGCAAATAAGTGCAATTAAGCCATTGTTATGGTTTAGCAATCACAGTTCTGGGAACTAAAAAAAAACCAACAGTGCACTAGCTCTTTTACAGGTACAGTTGAAGAAAACATTTAAGCAGTACTGGTGGCAATTTTCTAACACTAGTATGTCCAACTAGGTGCCTGCAGACCAAAATCACCAGTCTTGATACTTATGGGCATCAGAACCAATACTTGTAATTAGATGGACACACAAAATCTTGACAAAATGGACTTGTCCTTGACCTATTAGTTTATTTCAAAAACCTGTTCATTAAACTTACATACATCAGGGAATGTTGTAGATCTTTGATCCTTTCTCTGGTATTCAACAATGTGATATATGTCAAAGGTGATAAACTCAAGGGAACTAAAGAAACACCTTCACTGACTAATCAAGGGAAATGCTTTCATAGTTGCATACTTCAAATATAAGTGCACCACCATTTTTCAGAACAAAACTGCTTAGCTTTACCATGAAGGTAGTTTAAAGAAGTTTTATTGCAGTCAACTATGACTGAAATTAAGAACCATATTGTTTTACAATTCTGTCGTATTACCCTTTCATCAGCCTTTGGCATTTAAAGATGCTCAGCTACTTAGGCATTTAAAAGTTAATTTCCAAGGCATTTTGGTTTGGTGATTTTCAGTTATCTACAATCTTAAGCCATGTTCCAAATTCACTGTGAATCATCTTTATTCTTTCTAGTTCTAAGGAAGTTAATGGAGTGCAATCTATAAATTAGGGCAAACTGGAAAATTTATAGTACTCTTGGGTTTTCACTCAGGCACACAGATTTTTGCCTCTATCCAAACTGTATAAATTTTCTTCAAGATTTTCTGTCCTTGCATCTTTTCCATTAATAACTTTGCAATAATGCCTGAGAAAAAAATGATGAATTGTTGATCTGTTTGAAGCCTTCATATATTGTTGTGGGATATTCCCACCACTCACACCTAGAAAGCACCAGAACCTAAACTGGGAAAACTACTCTGAGCATGATTTTCCCCTGCAGGCAGCCTCAGCGGCATGATGGTGGGATTTATGGATCTAATGCCTGCTCACTCCCATATTGGCATGCCTGAAGAGTTACCATTGCTACCATACAGGTTATATTGCTCAGAACACATGGCCTCCTGTTTTCTCTCTCTGTAAAATCAAAGTTGTACAGAGGAAAGAAGAATAAGGCCCTAAAAGGAAGGAAAAAGGTGTGGAATCTCAACATGACTGGAGTAGGACAATAGATTACTATCAGGTTGAACACAGTTAATTTTCCCTATATTGCCACATATACAATTCACTAGGACAAAAGCCTACACTCTCTCTGAAATCCTTTTTACAGTCACATAAGATGTGCACATAAATGGATCCTGGGGTGATTTTTTAAATTCCTTTCAACACAGTATGTTTCCCCAGGAGAAGAAGAAAAGTTGCAAGAGAAGATCAGGCTGATGATGAAGTGCCTCTTTACTCCTTTTAACCTAGACATGCTGTTTAAAGGTAACATTTATCATCATTACCACACAGTGCATCCAGCAACAGCCTAGGGAAAAAAATCGAGGATGAGGGACACTGTCTTTCTGAAAAGTTCAGCAAGAGTCTGGGTAGCATCCATATTTCTTTCACAAGCCAGGGAAGGAACAAGCCAGGCTATGTGCTCATCATTCAGATGGCCTATAATACAAAGTCAAATGATGGCAAAAACATAACTTCCAACTCCATGTGTCTAGGATTTTGGGCACCATTGTGATCATACCTCGATGCAGTATTTCCATACTAGGCGCAGCTTGTTGCCAGAGTGCAAGTGAACTTTGTAACTGACTGCCACGAGTCAGCCTGGGAGCAGTAAATTAGCAAGTGGCTCAGGCACTCTAGTCTAGCAGAAGAGTAAAAAAAGGAGTGTGGCCGCAGCACTGGGAACAACGGTCCTTGTTCTCCTGCTTTGATGGAGGTAAACAAGTGCATTGCTATCTGACTTTGCCAAACCTCAAAGTATAATGCTAGAAGGAAAAATAAGTTTCACAGAATTGAGCATATACAACCCTTTTCTTCCCTTCCTTAATTGTATGTTACACTAGTTGAAACTACCGAAGTGTTTACAGTATGCTATATATATAATGGCACATTTAAGCTTTTTAAAGGGACTGGAACTTCAGAAATGTCTCTGGTGCTGAAAAAGACTAATGTATTACAAATTATATATTATTTTAATTCAGAAAAAATATGTTTGGGTATTTTGACCTAGCATCATAAGGGTTAGGAAACTGAACGAGGATGCCATGAAGCATGACTGACATATTAGTCAAGCTAGTCTGCTTCAGATACATATTGTGCAAGGCATTATCGCTGCAATCAATCACAAAAATGCATATTTAGGTTTTGTACATTAAATACCACACCTGTGAGCCTATGTAAAAGATATACAAAATATAAATGTCATCAGGACTGTATATTTCAAACTTTTTTAAAATAAACACAAAGTATATATATGTAGGCATATAGGTTGTAATTTCAATGTCAACACTAGCACAGTTTATCTCTTCTAAATACAGACCTGTATACTTCCTAGTCCGACACATGCACCTACAAACACATGATCATGCATACAGCTTTACGTTCTACTGTTTGCAGAAGAGTCAGAATATACAGCACTATACATTGTTTCAACTCAAAACTGATTGGCAAATTAAGGAAGATGCTATTTAAAAGAAATTCCTTGTGAGCTATTACAAAAACAAACAAACAAACAACAAAAAAAAAAAAAAAAAAAGGAAAACCAGGGCTATAGTTATTTTGTCTCAATAAAAACACTGAAGACCATGGTGATGGTGATCTAAGATTCAAAACGCTTTGTCCGGCATGTGGTAGGGGCTGTTCTTGGACAAGATACAACAGTGTAGAGCTGGTTGCTATAACATACTGAACACAGTTACCAGTTACAATGAGGTGTAGAGCTTTCACAACACCATCCAACCCCGCTCTGTGTTCAGACTACTGAGGTCTCTGACCGAAAAGAGATAGAGCAGTTATATGTCGTTCTTCTCACAGCAGGTGGTGCTGATGGTGATCTGGATGCCCATCTGGAAGGTAAGCGTCGATTTGCTGGCCGAGCAGGCCGGGAAAAACCCTTCCCGCTTGAACACTTAGCTGGCACAGAGATCTAGAACACAAAGGCAATTCCTTGCTTTAACAAGTTACGGCTTTTGTGGAATGCAGTGGGAATGTAGGAAGATATTTGGGGTGACCACAAAACAGGTGGTCTGAAGCTATTAAAAGGAGCACAGTAATGTGCAGAATGCAAAAGAACAGCTATTTCTATGTATAGGGATTCTCACATCGTCTGCAGTTTAAAATGTATAGAGACAAGTGTCAGACACAAGGAAAGGTATAAAATGTAAATGCAAGCCAAAACTGACATTCACTTCTCATTTCTTTACATTTTTTTGAAGCTTTTTCTCAATAAACACTGTACACTGTTCTAAATGTAGAAGTCAGAATACCATCATACATTACCAGAGTATGTTCTACATACTTTTCAGGTATTTTTTTGTAGTTGCCATTTCAGCAGCCACATCTTGCTAAGAACTCTGTTTCCGTTAGTGCAATATGAAGCTGTTTATACTTGGTAACTAATTCATAATGTTTAAGTATTAATGCAGTGTCATGCCTACATGCAGAGCCTTATATACACAGGGAAACCAACAGCTTTTGATCGCAGCTACAGTGATGCAAATTGGAAATAATGAAAATAAACCAAATGCCTCATGCTGTGTGTAGTTCTTTGCATCTTTGTGACAGGAATTCTGCTGGACCTAAGATGGTATCCCCTAATCAGGCAATATTCTACACTTAGTTTGTACAAATAGAAATGACAACATAAACATTTTTGGCTTATATCAATGTAAACTCAGTCATTACGTAGTCATTATTTCTTCCCTACATTTCATTGATGAAAATTTGTTTTCCTATCAAAAAGTTCATTGGATAAAAAAAGAGAAGCTTCATGTTTTTTTTTCTTTCTGTGCTGTAGTAAAGATCTGCTAAGCAAGATGTTGCATCACTGCAAGACTGTCAGAAGGACATGCAGAAGAAAATCTGCATGGTAAGATTCTCAGCTGTTTAAAATCCACATAGCTCCACTGAAGTCTGTGAATTTGTGACACTTTAAAGCATATCAGTTGACAGTCTGAACCCATATAGGTTTCTCAGCTCAAAACACATTTGATTTCTCTTCTCTGAGATGCTAAGGGACATATCTCTGTGTTTATTGGCCAAGGAGCATTTCAGGAAAAATTACTTTTCTTTCTTTGTGGCCTTTTACAGAACCTGTAACTTACAATGTATGTTCAAAATCCTCTGTTTCCATTAAGAAAAAATGTTGGCAAAGGCAGTATTTCTAAGCTTCTGCAAATTAAATTTAGCCAAATATAAATTAGTCATGCCATACTCTCCTGTTTATGTGACCGTATGCATGAATGTATAGGAGAAGTCTGGAACTGAGATTAAGTAAGAGGTCATTTTATTACTAGAAACTTTATGGAACTACAGTACCCTTTTTCATAGGCAATTCCAAGGAAATCTTGAACCAAGAGGCACCCTGGATGCTGAAGAATGCTATCTTAAGCCATCTAGGATTTTGATATGGCCAAGTGTGCTTAAGCCTTTTGGGAAGGCTCATGAAATAACTCGTCAGCTAAAGGAAGGAGGGAGGGAGTTAAAACCTGACTGCAGTTCTGACTAGTTCAATCCTTAAATAACTGCACTGCAGTTAAAATCTTGCTTTACACAACAGCAGCAGAGATCAGAATCTGGCACACATCTTCACTGATCATTCTTACTTTCAAGCTTCTGTCCTCCCACAGTTCTATTATCTTCAGAGGAAATACTCCTGATTCACCCAGATCCTGGCCTAAAGTGTCTATTTTTACCTAATTATTTACAATATCTTGTTACCCTGCCTCACTTTAGAATCTAAAGTTTGGTATGAAACCGAACTATTTTGTTCTTGCAATTTTTGTGAACCTTACCTCTCGTAACTTCTGCCTCTCTTTTCCTTGCTTGACTTGCTGCCCAATATGCCTGGCTGAATTCCTCGGAAATTCTTGCTTTCCTTGCTCAATCTGGAGCATTTCTAAATACTGACTCAATGTCTCACAATCCCCACTGGTGAATTCAGAATTTGCCCGTGTCCACTGCTCTTTGCAGCATTTTGCACTACACGGAGAAGTCACTGTTGATTTTTCATAGTTTTTCAAAAGCTTTTCAACAACTCCATAGTTTGACCTTGAGTCAGCTGAACGCGGGCGACCAGATAAATTACTTGGTCTCCAGTCATGCTCGTGAAGCATGTGCCTATAACCACTAGTATTTGGAAGTCCATCCATTTGCTTTTGTTGCCCTGACGTTCTGACAGCTTTGCTAGGGTTGCCAGTCTCTTGCTCCTTTGTTGCAGAGAATTTGGGATTTGAAACACAAGACGTATTTAGAGTTTCTGTCCTGCTAATAGCAGAGACACGCAGTGGGTTGCAGGGTTTGTGATCTTCTGATGCTGCTTGAGGCACCTGGTTTGCTTGCAAAGCATTGTTACATTTGTCTGTGTGAAATACTGTCCGGTTAAACTCATCAATCTTTGCTGCTAAAGTTTCATTTCTTTGAGTCTTTCCTGAAGTATACCTAGAGTCTTCCAAAAGATCATTGTGCAGGGTAGCAGGGGCATAAAAGCCATTACTGTCATAAGGGCTGCTCTGAGACCTGGGATTTTGTTTCTGGTGCTTCCTGTTGCTTTGGGCCATATTTCCATCTGAACAACTCTTTTGGGCTGACAGTGGGGAAGGTTCACTTCTATTGTCTTTTCCAAGTTTGCCCACATCATATGCCCATGTGTTGTGGCAGAAACTTGTTGGCACATTGCACTCATTTTTGGTTACAGGTATTGCAGCAGTTGCTATCACGGGACCTTTCACAGCCTGCCCTTCAGTTGCAAAGGCTGCTGCGGTGTCATTCTGGTTTATAGGTGAAGGATTCATCAGTTTTCCTCCACTCCTACAGTCCTGAGTCTTGCAATTGCTTTTGATGCCTGTATCTCTCATTGACACTTCAGAAAGCTGTACAACTGCAGAAAGTGAGTTTGTGAGGTGCCGAGAAGTGCTCCGTGGAGGAACTGGTGGAGCTTCTTTTTTTTGCCAAGATCTGAAGCCTGTTTCTTTATCACCAGTAAGACCACCATAAGACATATCCTTCAAAGCCTTTGTGGAGCTCATCAGATTCTTCCTATTATTATGTTCCTCTGTTTCAAAAGCAACTGAAGTCTGTGATTCATTGCTGGACACATGGTTCATCTCAGGCAGAATAACTGTACTTTGGGTTTTCTCAAATTCCCCCAGGAAAGGAAGTGACTTCATTCTGGAAATAAAAGGAGAGGTGTTTTAGAGATGAGCAATAAGGTTATTCTCCCAGGGGACCTCCGCATGGATTCATTCTCCCTATAAGCAACTGGTTTAACACTGGCTACTTAAAAAGATCTGGGAGCAGTTTTACTGCAGCTGATACAGCCAGCATCGTATTTGAAACATACATGAAGAATTTAAAGAAAGCTCAACAAAAAGAATCTTGTATTCTTTTCTCTTAATTTTTTTTTCTGAAACTTTATAGGTGATTGCTTGTTTTCTTACCTATCCTACAGTAGGAACAGTGGAATCTTGTGAGTTCTAATGACTCCAGTGAGAGTCTACCTGACTATGAACTGAATAAAGAAAGTTCTGGACTAAGTGCATCCAGTGTATAGGTTTCCTAACATTATACATGACAGTACAAATATGTCTTTTGGGATCTGTTCAAAAATCACCTTTTTTCTGGCCAAGATTTAGAAACTATGCATCAGATATGAATTTATTAGCTTTAAAGATAGAAACACTAACCCAGCTACAATAATAAGTTAGTGACAGACAGCCAACTGGTTGCATGGGGTGGTATAAGAAGCCCCTCTGCTCTTTGGGAACATCTGAGAAGAGCCTGGCATGATGCAGACTTCCACGGGCTCTCAGCATAGCTGAGACACAGCCTTTCTTAATCTCTTTCATGGTGTGCATCCTGTCACACCATGTGCTCAGTTTTACCTTCTGAGAGTTTCTGCACAACTCAAGAGGAAGACTGGTGTTTAGCTTGCTAAAGGGAGACTGAATTTTTAACAGATGAAGGAATATTCATTTGTCATACTTTTCAGGGCCTGGCTTACCATCTTTCCATTAGAACAAATGTGTGGTTGTTCTTCTTTTTCTTGCCTTCTTTACACTCTTGGATTGTCAGTTCCTGCCACACACCCACACTTAAGGCTAGATACAAGCTTAATGTAAGAAACCTCCCAGCCTAACCAACGTATACAGTGTTGTATATAACTGCATGGAAATGGACCAGGGCAGACAGAAGTATGTGTTCAATTTCCCAATCCTCTATATAGCCATTAGAAACAAGTACAATTTAATCTTGTATAAATAATAATCTAATTTTGTAGGTTCTACAGATACACTCCATTTTGCTAGTAAAATGTGCCCTTGTATTGTATTTCAGTTTATTTCGTTTGAATATTTTTTACTGAGCACTGAAACACTAGGAGTATAGGAACTGCCCAACTCCTAGTAAACTCAACAGCAACCACTCCTTCAAAGGGGACATAAGCAGTCTCATTATTCATTCTCTTCTTCTAATTTAGGGTCCAAACATGTTTGTACCTTCTGTGGTTTGACTTCCTTCGGATTTCCTCTTGATAGCTGCATAATTCTTCACTGACTCTGGCAAGTTCTTTGAGAGCCTTTATAAATATAAAACCAGTCCTTTAATATAAGCTTTTAAAATAGTATCTCCAGAATTATTTTGAAACTTGTGGTCACTTGCATTTAAGACTCACAGCAGAGGAAAGCAGCACAAAAAAAGATACAAAAATGACCCCAGGTTATAAATGGAGGTAAAGAGAATGCTGTTAACACACTTAAACAGTGAGAAACACTCATCAATAGTAAAACAAGGAGGAAGTAGAGACTGCCTTGGTGGAAAGCTAAAATCAGGGAGATCAGTTCTTTAGGCTACCCTTGTGGGCAAAAGCTTGCTGTATTTTCCTCACCCTTGTAACCAAGACATGCCCATACTTTACTTACTACATTAAGATCACCAATATAATTCTTGGCATTTTTCTTGGAAGTTTTGATGCTGAGGCTGTCTTCAGGTTCGTGAGAATTCTCAAAAGCCAGATTGTCCATTAACAGAGTACTGTTTCTGCTCTTGGCTTTGGTTTCTTTACACTCGTGTCCTGTTTTACTGAGCAAACTTCCCTTTTCCATCCTGTCATTTGCAACATTGTGTTGATAGTTCAGCTCCACTGTGTCACTCTCTTCCGAAGTAGGGGAATGCAAGGACAGCTGCAGCATCTTGCTCTGAATCGTATTATTATCATGGACGTTCATATTGCTCTCCCTTCTAAGTTTTACCTCCTGGTAAAGCTGAAAAAACAATAGGACCTTGTATTAAATCATGGTACTGTAATGAACTTCATGGTAAAAGAATATATTCATATTCTGCTTTGAATGATGCTTCACTCAGTAGAAGAATACCAAGTAGAAAGATTTGTACATGTGTTAGTAAAAATTGATTTTATGATGCTATAACAGTGCACTATGTGGTGGACGCATCCCTGATCTGATGGATGGGGAATGTGACGGAGAGAGAGGGCTCTGGCTATATTACCAGCTGGAAAATTATGTTAGTTTAAGGAGGGGAAGTGAATTTTCATTACACACAGTGTCACCTGCACCAACACAGACTCTTCTAGTTCTCAGGCAAGTGTAATCCTCCCCTGTGACTCAAGATATAAATCAGTACTGCAGAATGGTATTATCTGGCAATGTGCTGTCACCTTCTTATCTTCTTTCATGCTATGCACTCAGATGCAGTGGCTTCATTAGTAAATGAAAAGGTGTTAATTCCTGTCACTCAGCGATTTCAAACTAGGGAACTGTGATAAATTATAAATTAGAAAAAATAGCAACATCATAAAAACCTCTTCCGCCTACAGTATCATTTCCAGTGCCAAGAATCCCACGGCTCTTTATAAACATTCATTCTTAACTTGCTTTTGTGAAGAAAGCAAAGAGCAGGCACCTCTGAACAGCCATCTGCCTGCTTTCTCACAGTGCACAAGGCCGTCCCAACAGCTTTTGGAAGGACAGTGAAGAATAACAACAGGAAGGACATGCGGCCATTTCATAAGTAGTGCTGAGCATTAGAAGTATTCGCACGTTCAGAGAGCTGACACTTGACCTCATCCTGGGCTTTCAGATTTCAGTCCCAAGCCCAGCTGCTCATGGAACCCGAGGGCTGAATTTTGTCATTTCCAAGGAATGAGGGCCTCATATGGATTCAGCATAGCAGTAAGAAGGAAGGATACCACATCATAATAATATCATCTCTTAAACCACATAAGTCTTCCTGGAGTAATCCAGTAATTAAGTTAGGTTTTGGAGGGCTAGATAAAAATACAAATTAAAACACAAGCTGAAAAGGTAGCACAAGTTTTATTGAGGAAATCCTTCTGCAGATGATGGCATTTAAAAGGTATCTCCCCTTTTCTCCAGCCATGTGGTTTCTGGTGAAGAAACATCAGGCAACTAAAATCAAGGGCTATAGACACAATTTAGGAGGTGACCTTAAGATACCGATAACCTTGGGATACCATCTGTAGTTTTGTCTGGTCCTCTAGCACCTAGTGATTTGCTTCATTCTTGTTTTCTTAGCCCAAATCCATTCTTTATCTCTTTTTCTGTCTCTGTCATGCTTTCTTAATCCATATACGAATAAAAAATATTGAAAAAACATGGTCTTTGCTGCCATTGACAGTACTGTTAATAGCCAAAATACCTTCTCACAACACATTACTGTCATTCCACAGCAGCTCATATACCTAACCAACTGAAATTCAACTGCACATGCAGATTGCATCACTAACTTTTGAAGGACTCTCACCTCAGCAGTGAAATTAGGCAAGATTGCATAGAAATGTCCTAACATAAAAGCAAAATATGGCAAAGACTATCATACCAAAGTCTGCAAGATCTGCAGGTAAAATATAAGAGAGCTGATATTACGGAGCTATGCTGCAGGGTAGTGTATGGCTGCAATGCATTTGGCTCTGATAATTTTCCTTCTCATACTTTCATGTGAGCAATCTCTGTCATACATTCCTGTGTTGCTCAGCCACAGGATGGTGTTGGCAGAGAGCAAGCAAAACTACTCCATGTGTATATTAGAATGAAAGATGTGGAAAGCTTAGTGGTGAAAAAACTTGCTTCTATATGTTGCCAAGGCAGATTCAATTTATGCATTACAGAATGCCAGACGGTTCTGCCACAGGGACAATTTGGGAATAAAAAAGTAATAAATAATTACCATAACTATGTCTGGAAGGACATGCATTAAAAATGACAAGGAGTGAGTGTTAGTACCCGTAAACACACATGGTGTCAGGACTTTCATGGTATTTACTGTAACTGTTTTCTCTACTGAAAGCTGTCTATAGATGGAGCAGGTTCTAGCCAGAATGATTCTGCATCATGCAGCATTTAATGTATGATCTTCTTTTTAGTATTACCATTTACCCCAGCAGACCTGTGACATCTAATCCATTTTTGCCAGAGAATTGTGACACCTAGAGTTTTTGCTACTAAATATGCATTTTCCTAAACACTGCATATGCAGTTGTTCAGTGTGTACTTGAAAAAAAGCATGTATGATATGAGCAGCGTGGCTCATGCCCAGAGAACTGGCAGCAGTATATACAGCCAACAACACCACAGCAGACTTCACACAAAGCAACATTTAATCTTCCGCTTCATATTTATGATTATTAAATGAGCAATTGCAAATGCTGCTTAATGCCTGGCTTTGAGTCTTACCATCAGATATTAGAAACTTCCAGTGACAAATAACAAATAGGATAAAAAAAAAAAAATTGAAGCATCCCCCAATCACTTCATCCCAAGTGAAAATGTTAGTGTTCAGAGTTTTGTTTTAAAGTACCTCTTCTATTTTCTTCTGCATACCCTTCCATTGACATTCCCATTCTTTCCGTTCATTGTCAAATCTTTCCAGCAATTCCATCTTCTCTTTATTCCAGTTCCTCTCAGTATTCTCCAGTTGCTTACGCAGGTCCATGGTTACAGTCTGTTTAACAGCAAGAAGATAGCTCTGCTTTTTCTCTTTCTTCCCTGAATGTTTCCTGGAAGTTTATTAGAATAAACACCTTACTTGTGTTTGATTCGAACTTTCAGGGAAAAGAAGAATAAAGCAAACCCCCCCAAATTATTAACTGAAATGTGCTTGCAGGAGACAGCATCATACAACTGCATGATATATTCCTGGAGTGTGAGTGGAATACGGACAAACCAAGTGTTACAGAATACAAACATAAGGGCAGAGAGGATCAATCTGAAATGGGGAGAAGGGATCCACATGCAGTACAACAGAATTCGGCAACATCAGCTACAGCGAGCTCTGTACGGTAGCCACTTTGCATTACTTTTCACTTTAAACCAGTTTTCAGTGAAATTCAAGTCTGCATGCTACTGAATGGCACTTCGGGACCTTGGGATCCTGCAACATCTGCCCTTGAGGGTCAAAACTATTTTTACGTTTGTTCAAGAGACAACTGCAAGTGTAAAGGGATTATGTTTGCTCATGCACCCCTTTCACACATGCATGTAGCATGACAAAGACTGTGGCATTCTTTTGGCAATTGAAGACTGTAAACTTGATACATGCAGATAATTCTCATGGCTACATGAATATATTAGAATACATGAAGCAAGACAGGACAGGAAAGCTAATAACAATAAACACATAAAGTATCATTCTACTACATAAAAGACTATAGGTCACTATAAAAAGCTAATATATTTTGGATTTACAAATTTAAATCTAAAAATGCTAGTTCTAGGACCAGCATAGGAAAAACAAGAAAATATTCTCAAGTCTAGTTCAAAACCTTGCTCAGAATATTTAACTAATTAGCCCTTCTTCTTCAGAAGTCTTTAGTACCTGTGGATGAAAAAATACCAGTTGAACCACTTAATACGTATATTTTATGGGAAATATTTTGCATCTGCTTATCTGGCTTTGAAGCAAAACAGTTACAGATTTTATAGGCCTGGTGCTCCTCTTGCTTTCTTAGGCTTTACAGCAAGAGCTCCACCAGCACATTTACTATGCCAGCAAGGCCAAAATAACACTCATTTATTCACGACGGCTCCTGTGGTACAATGCCTGGTATACAGATATTGATATTTGAATTTGTTGACTTTGGCTCTCAAAGCCAGCTGTTGTATTAGTTAGATGGACATGGAATCCAGTACTAGTCACAAAATGCCTCTGCAATGCTTTGGTCTCCTGCCAGAAACCAACTGTAGGGGCAGGCAAATGAATTATCAGAGAATTAACTAGGAGTAAACCTAGGAATTTGTTCATTTCCCTGACTGATGGCTTGTGATTGCCAACCCACAGGATCTGTCCATTTTATCATTCATATTTTCTTTGATTTAGTAAAAATTAATTATTGAGCTTCACGTAAATTTCTTCCCCATCCTGTATTTTATTGGACAAGTCTTGTTGATTCAGCTGTGGCTACTGTGAAATCTGCTTACCAGTATCTGCATTATTTCAGCTGACTGGGCAGCTGATGCCAAACTTGAAGTCAGCTTCTTTCATGAACAAGTAAGCAGAAGAGCTCAGCTGAAGCCCAGTGGGTTAGGTCTTTGGGTCCTAAGAAGTCCTGCTAAAGGACCTCTCAACTGACAACCATCATGGGCCCAATCCTAATTCTGGGTTCGCAAAAGTGGCTGCCCCAAGCAATTTTGGATGGAGGATTTAGGGAACAAGCTGACTATTCTTCCAAGATCTTTGTCAGCCTGCTTCACAATGGTGATAACCATGTCACCATATAACATGGTACTAGAGCTTACTCTTTCAAAATCTGACTCACACCTGCCCTGAATGTCTGAAATGAAATCTGCCCCTCAACTATCTACAAACAGATTTCAGACCCTTCTTCCATCTGCCTGAAAACATACAGGACAGCTTTTATAAAAACATAACCCCCTTGAAACTAAGAGCAGCATTCCCATCACAAAAGAAATCAAGCACTGGTTTGCTCACGGCTTCTTAGGGAAAGAGATTAGGCTACAAAGACTGCACCTCTCCAGTCCAGCATTTCAGCTTTGTGCCAGACTTTCATAAAGTGTTAATGAAAAACAACTTACAAAAAAATTCCACTGCACTTGCGACCTATGCAATCTAAACATCTATTGCTAATGAACTTTTAAACCATTTCAGTATTTTCTCTCTGCACTTCTAATGTTGCAATATTTAGTATAGTCATTTGCCCTTTTTTTTTCTACATTTATGTCTCTATAACCTTTCAATGCATCTCTAAGAAATAAACAAAAGTCAACTCTCTGCTCCACTAGAATCCTTCAAATGTGTCAGAAAGAAATAAAAAACTTATAAATGCTGTAAAGTCATGAACAAGACAGGCAGACACAATCTGTCAACAACTTTCACAAATGGTGATATTGCTAGTGCACTATTAGGAACAATGACCATGCTTCAATCAGCAGCATACTACTAGAAAGTCAATACTATATAGCATATTTTTTTTACACACATAAAATATATATATATAATATGTATTCCTTTCAAACATGCATATAGCATTGAAAGGCCCCTAGTGGTTTCTTAGTGCTGGGAACTACTATTGCTATGTTTACATTCATCTTAACAATTTCCAAATTGCTTCATATGGGAATCTGGTTATAAAAACAGATTGGAGAGCATTAGAATAAAATCAAGTCCTGGAAGAGGCTAGTTACAGGAATTATAGATAGTCACTTGTAGCTCTAAGGTCCAGAAAAAACTTGTGTTGCTTCTTATGCTTCTCCCAATTTCCTCTTGACATAAATTCTGAGAAGAAAACTCATGTTATTGATGTTGGCAGCTGGATGACTATACAATTTTGCTGCTGTTGTACAGTGGATAAATTCCTTCCTCAGAGTGTTTTAGCTCTTATTTCTATGACTTTTTTCCCCTTTTTTTCTTTGGTAGTTTTTTTGGTTCTTTTTTTCTGTTTTGTTTTGTATGTTTTTTGAGGGAAGACTTTGAGGGGAGAATTTTTGTTTGCTTTTTTTCTCTACTAGCAGTAAAATCCAATTTGTCATCCTGATAGTATACCCTCTGCCTGTATAGTGCATCAAGATGTCCCCATGGTATTTCACATGGGTTAAGCAACCCAAAGAGATGCAAAATGCCACATTATAATTTGCTGTGTAGATCAGAACAGTACTGTGCTATTGCAGTATTGGCACTTTCTGCATGTCCTAGACAAGGTCAGAAGCTCACTACCACAATCAGGTTCAAGCAAATAATAAATTTTGTCTACATCAGCTGCATTTTCCCTCAACTTGTCCTTTAGCTCTTCCTTCTTTCAAGCAAAAAATGTTTTAAGCAGCTCTTTGATGTTAGTGTTATTATTCCCCCATGTCCTTCCCATGTCTTTCCTATGCACATATTAAAAATGCAAAATAGTTTGCAACCAACCTCTACTAACTTCTGAAAATAATCTGCACTGACATGAGCTGAAATATTATTTTTCACCAGAGATTAATTAGACTGGATGTGTACAGCCATTCAGATACACGAATCTTCCCTTGATTTTACAGGGAAAAAAACTATTAAATTATATTTCTAATAAAGTGCTGTGGTTTAGATGACTAATGAAATAATACATTTATGTATTTGTTCAATTATAAAAGTGTGACATATGTCACAATATTGTGGACTTTATACATGAAAAGAAGAGTGAGAAAGTGAAAGAGAGAGGGAGAAAAGGAGAAAGAAAGATAAGAAAGAAAGATATGAAGAGAGAAAGAGGGAAAGAGAACAGAAAGGGAGAAAGAAAGAGAAAGAAAAAAGAGAGAGAAAGAAAGAAAGAAAGGAAAAAAAGAGAAAAGGAGGGAGGGAAGAAAGAGAAAAGAAAAAAAAAAAAAAGAAAAAAGGGAGGGTGGGAAAGAAAGAGAAATAATGAAAGAAAGATTTGAGTGCTCACAACGCTGTCATCCCTGTTCAGCTGATATATCTGTGCCTGCTCTGAAGAAACTACTGTACTAATGAAGAGTCTTTCTCCAAGAATAAAGACTATATATAACATACATGAGCACCACATTACATACAAATAACATTAGTGAGATGTTTAAATAACCATTTTCCACATGAATAATTTGCTTTCTTTTTTAATCTTAGCTATTCAAATCACTGATTTAAAATAAACTGTAACCATACCTTTCATGGAATACGAAATCCCTTAGAAGTCTTTCAGTCCATTTCTAAACAGCAGTGAAAGCAATGAAATGCATAGCTAGCTGGGATCCAGTTCTGCAAATCTCGATCTTTAAAAGAAATGAGAAAGCTGAGCAAGACACAACCTTCCAACTGGGGCAGCATTTGTCACTCTCTTTGAATAAGTCCGCAACTTTTGCAAACTGAAAAACAGTCCCGTTCAGCATCATCCCAGCAGCTGGCTTCCACGTGACGTCAGTGCATGGAGGATGGTTTTAAAGCCATCTCTTCCAACCCCCAGCTCTGTAACTTAATATCTCCTCATATTTCGTGTAAACAACTCCAAGTCCAGGACATTTTTAGGTTTTATAGTGCAGTCCAGTCTTTAAAGCCTGCCAAAGCAGCCAGTGTTAGTATTAAAGCTGTGACAATAGGCAATTTCAGGTTACTTTTACTAACATCCATGTTGCAAAGGAAGATTCCTTCCTGACTTCCAGACCTGGTTTTCAGGGTTATATTTTTTATTATGATAATCTTGAGCTTTGCAACTTGATCCTCAAAAACTGAGTTGTAAAGGGACTTTGTTTAAAGCAGCAGTTTTGTTGGTCAACAGCTAACTTAAAGAGCTAAAAGCAAGCCACTACCCTAAAATCTTTTTATGTATTCTAACTATGCCATCATGTATGAAGCACAGAATTATTGAGTATTGTATAATCCTACTGTCTTGCATTCTGGGAATGGTGACAATGGTTTCTTTGGGATGTACCCAAATATTTCTGCTACTTTATAAGGTTTCTGCATCAGATTCTCTGGTCTGTTAATATACTTTGTGTCAGCAAAGTAAAGTGCTTGGAATTGGATGGAGAATATCCCTTGCACACGGAAACTCATCCCTAGCACAAGGCTAGCAAGGAAAGTCCAAAACCACATCAGTCTGGATTTAAAGCACTAGGAGCGCCCAATTCAAGTGTCAGCATGGGAAGAGGGAATGGAGTATATATGACAAAAATGATCCAGTAAGTAAAGCCCATGGAAGACCTTGAAGCCAGTGTAGCAAAATTCAGCTGCTCTCCCTGCTGAGCTGCAGGCACGAGGCGATCAGCTTGCTCCTTGCGTCTCTGCCCACCACAGTAACACCTATTGCACTACATGCTTAATTGCTTTCATTTGGCACACAGAGAGACCCCCAGGCAGCAGCTTCACACATACCACTGCCCTGCTGGATACTTGTGCTTGGATGTGGCTGTGCACAGTGACTGAGACCACTATAGTCAGAAAACTCACATTTCAGGGAACATTTTGTCCCCACATATACCTGAAGAAAGGCCACCAAGTACTTGACTCATGAATCATAAAATTCTGGATAAATTCTGCTACCAGATGGGAATCTTTGAGTGCACTAAGCAGGAGTGGCATATATTTTTTTGTAGGCAGAGCAGCTGATGACAACAGAATCAGGGAGAAGGACATGATATGAGGATTCACACATCCTTTGCCTAGTCAGCACTTTCCTCCTTAGAACAGTAAGGCTTTTCTGTGATAAAATCCATGCACTGCATAAAGATTTTAGCTCTGGGTACATTTTATAGTAAATACCAAAGCAGGTTACAGGGAAACACATTTTTTCTCCTTATATGGTCTCGCTATAAGTCTCAGTGAATACATTACTGGGGTGCTTATTCTGCTCCCATGTAACTTAAATAATGGGACTTGGGCTACTTGTGAAAATTTCAAAGGTGGTCTATAGACTGGATAAAGATGCCCAAGTACAAAACTGAACATTCCACAGCCCCTAACTCTGAGAATTTAAAAACAGAGCAACAGTGTGACTTTCTTTTGAGAGGTTATGTCCCAACAAGACAGCAGACATAGCTGGGAGCGAACCCTGAGTGCCTGGGAGCAGAACTGAGCCCACAGCTGGAGGCTGGGTGCCACGCTGCTGCCTCCTCTCCAAAGCCAGCACAGCTGCCCCCCTGCAAATGAAGACAGACTCTGAATATGTTCCTTTACTCTTATCTTTAGAATAGGCTATTATTGTTGTGCTCTTAGTATTGCTAACTCAATGCCCCTTCTCGTCTTAGGTGAACTTTCTGAAGTAAAATACAGTAAAATTAAAGAAAACAATAGATTAAATCCCAGGCGTGAGTTTTCACTCAGGCAAAATCCTACATTTCTGTCAGTGTAAGGAATTAGAAATGTGTAAGACTGAGGGGCTCATTATTAGGAGATAAGAGCTGGACCCCACTCTTAGTTCAAAGGGCCATGTTAAACTCATCCTAACACGGGTAAGGCAGAGAAAAGTTGGGACAAAGAAAGCATAAAGCAAGCTAAATCCCTGGACTCATTGCTCCAGACACCCTTAAGTGTAGGAGCAGTGACTTTTGCTTTTGAAGAACAAAAGTTATTCAACAGAGACTGTCAACCCTCCAACAGCAGCACACAAAGCAGCAAATGTAGCTTTCTGGCCACTGGCTCAGGCAAAATAAGCAAGAAGGCTAGGGCAGGTTTACTGGATCCGATACACTGCTTCCACAGGCAAAGCGGACTTTGTCTACACCCAGTATCAGCTCTGCTTGTGTTAAAAGTCAGCATCTCAACAAAAAATGTGAAAGGGGATTTTAAACAAGCCCCCTGCTAAATTTCTCTTCAGCATTCAAGACTGAAGGGAGCATGAGTTTCAGCATGGACTATAATCTGAATGTATACTCAGGGTAACGTGTATTCTGGTCAATAGTCTCTGCTCAAGATGGTTTTGCAGCACTTACAGTTCTGCTGTACCAGCTTGGTTATGGCACACCCATTTTGCTATATCCATGTAAGTTTGGTAGCAAGAAGGAAGAAAAATATTGCTGCCACTGTAATCAAGCCAACTACAACATCATATTCCTTAATGATGTACATCTTGATAATCTTAGCAAATATATCTCAGGAGTGGATATATAAATTGGGAAATGGGCAGAAGGCAATACAAATTCTGTCCCCTCTTACTATTGTGCACTTCTGTAGTAATATATAACTTAGCGGAGAAATAGAGCCAAAAAAGCGTTATGTCACTTCTCCAAGGTTACATTGGAAATCGGTGGCAGATACTTTAGATATTTGCTTTAAATAGAGCCACTGTAATTTTCCCCATAGGCAACTGCATGTGTAATGGCAAAAGTTGGGTTTGAATATCACTTCCCCTGGCATTAAATCAGAGACAGAAATGTAAGCCAATGGGAATTACGTCCCTGACACTGATGCCTTCAGAAGTCTCCTACTCACCTATCAGATTCTAGGGTGATTAAGGGGAAGGGCATCTAATACCCTAAAGCTCTGCTTGTTTTTGTAAACAACTCCCAAAGTTCATATGCAGTTCATCTCTTTTTATAACACATATGTAGACAGCCACGGTTTTGGCAATTTTCTATTTTCCGACTGCCAGGCATATTTCTGCACTATAGCACCTGCTCTCTTCTAGTTTTGATTCTGAAGCACTGGTGACACGTGTCAGCAGACACTTATTCTGGCTCTAGCTGGAGCTTCACGCATGGATATTTTGGGTTGAAAGAAATATCTCTGATCTTGGAGAAGATGAACATTCTAGTATCACGGGAATTTTTCAGTAACAGCAAAGAAAATATTAGAGGTATTTTGTCAGGGCATTCAGAGCCAACTCTAAAAAGGAAACAAACTTATCTGGTTGGATTAAAGGAAAAAATGTATCTATTTTCTAAATGACATAAAAAATTCATTGGAGTTGCTACTGATTTACACAAGTATAAAAATATCAGAATTAAATCTACAGATGCAAGATCTTTTTCTGAAAGAACATGGAATGAATTCTATGGGAACACAGGAAACAAATTATTTTTTTTCAGATAAATGTAAAATTAAGGCAATCTTTGAGTTCAAATAAAATATTTACCTGAATATTAGTATTTTGCCAGAATATTCCAAAATGGGAACTGTGAATCTGCTATTGATATAACTAAGGTTTGAACTGATGGGTAATCTGGCATAGCCAGCTTGTTGCCACTTAAAAGCAAAATCTCCCATTTGTCTCTGATATCAGTCTTCAGAATTACAAGCTATGCAGCAGACAGAATCTGGGGAATCAGCAGCATTCTGTCCATCTCTGCCTTCCCTGACTCCCACACACTGTTGCTAGAGGATGTGGAGATGTTCAGCTGCACTTACTCCCTCACCCGTGAAGTGGATTTTGCCCACCAGGCCAGTAACTCAGTGCGGACTATCTGCCTCTCTTCGCAAGTGTAATTACTGTGTTTCCTTGTGAGACCAAGTTATCGCAATTTAGCAAGACACAGAACATGTTCCTTGGATAGATGTTATCTTCTGGCTATGGATAGATGCCCATGCTGATTTTATTAGCCTTCTCACCAGCTTCTAAAACAGTGAGAAATGGAGGGCTGTGAACTTCTTTGCAGTATCTGGCACAAAACAGATAAGCAGCTCAAATCACTCCTTTCAAGCTGAATGCAGCACATGAAAACCACATCTCATTTCTCATTGAGATTTATCTGCACTGAGGTTTGCAGGGGTCCTCACCTTTCCCTTGCTCATCACAGATTCAAAGCCCGTGGGGAGCTTCTAAAATGGTTTTGTATGCTTTGGAATGCTTTAATTTCAGATTGTAGCCTTTACAAAAGCTCCCTAAATGTCCCAAAAGGTCTGAGCTTTCATTTGCTTTGTTTGCCTGACAGAATCAGGATGAGGAAAGCTCCAACTACATGCAGGAAAAAACACTCAGAGAAATCAATGGAGTTATAATTGTCAGTCCTGTGCAGAGGTGATCACATGTCCCTTTTGTCTCAAGAGGTTCATCCTCACCTTTTCAGGTTTGTGAGAAAGAAGCAAATCTTCCCCAATTACTTCCAAGATGTATTCAATGTATGACTTCAGTGTATTAAGCTTTCCTACTACTTTACAGGAGTACTGTTACTGATACACTCTGTAAATCAAACACACTCTACTTCATTAAATACAAGGCTGAGAAAGCTATAAACAAGTTTAGGTTAAAATCTGAGAGCCCAGAACTTCAAAACAGACTAAAGTATGATTTTTTTCTTTTTTATGGGATTGAGCTACTAACATTTAAGAAAACCCAAATGATCTTCTCTTCCCCCAAGGGAGACACTAAA